GAGTCTTCTTTTTACCCACTTGCTACTTTTACTGCTTTTTGCTTTGATGGCTTGATGAGAATTGCATTTACTCCCCTGTTTTTGACATTTTATCTTTACAAACTGGTTTGGACTAACTTGCATATCAAGGAAGGATTTCTTTGACTAACTTGCATATAAAGGAAGGATTTCTTTCTTCCTCAGAAGCCTGCTTATGCTTAAACGTTTCGAGTTAATCAAGCTTTGTGTTGTAAAAGTTTATGCTTTGTTTCTGCAGTGCATTTAATTGAGTCGATTTGAAATTTGCTATTCATGTTTTGTAACTAGCTCTGAAGGTGAGGAGGTTAAGACCAAGTTGGATGACAAGAACTCGTTCGCTCGAGAACTGCACCTACAAGATGAGGAACACTGTGAAGGATGAGAAAGAAGATCTCAATTTCATCCATTCATAGAATCTTTGACGCCGTTATAGTTTGGTGCCTGATGGCATATTGTAAGTTCTAAGCGTACTGGTGTGAGCAATCTTTGTTCAAAACCTGCAACTACTGCAAACTGGTTTCAGCTGTCCTACATCTTTGAGTTAGTTTTACTTTCTCCAAAACCTGCTCATTCTTGAACTTCTTGCGGTAATTAAGCTTTGTGCTCGCGCCTAATGAAGTCGGATTTAAATTATAACTAGCTGCAGACAAGAAATTATACATTTTGAACAAATTGAAAAGGAAATCAAGTTGAATTTAAGAAAGCAGTTCTCCATTATTTGGTCATCAAATTTACAAATCATCAGAAGTAAAATTACTGGAAAAACGGAGATAGTTCATTGATAATTTTACATGATCATCCGTAACAAAACACAATAGGCAATTGAAGAACACTACAATTAATAAGAGGAGAAATTAAAGCCGGCGAAAATCGTGTTACAAATCTTCATTCAGTACCAAGTTCTGCTGGTAGTGAAATTAATTACATCAAAATATGTGGCATGAACTGATCTTCCGTAAACGAATAACTATTCAAGTAGCTGCTTCCGAATAATGATTGGTCGACCACATTGTCGAAGGCACTTGGATGATAAGCTTCCTCTACTCCTCCTCCATCAGCAAACATAAAATCCCTGTAGAAACTTGGATTCCGAAGTTCCTCTTCTTGGGTTTCAGAAAGCCAATATTGCTCTAATAAACTTGGATCCCAAGCTTTCTCTTCTACGGTTCCATCTTCAGCAGTCCCAGATGATGCTGGCAAAGGCAGTTCTCGGGTTTCAGGAATAAACTCCGACGTATTAGTATACAAAGCTTGATCTTCCACTCCTCCATCGGCAACGACGGATGAGACCGGCAGTTGCACATCTTTCCTTTCTTTACCCAATAACAATTCCTCTGAGGCAGAAGCTGTTGGAAAAGGCGCTTCTACTGCTCCATCGGTCGGCTCTTTAGCCAACACGTCGTCTAATTCGTCAGCAGTGATGGTGAATCTCGGATCATTATCATCATAACCATAATCAACATAATCACCGACCATAAACTCATTGTTCTCTTGATCAGAAAGCACAAAATTACTAATTAGACAAGAATTGCCTTGTCGTCCTTCCTCGTCAACAACATTGAACGCATGCATGTTTTGTTCGATCTCTTCGTTCGCCCGCTTCTTCTTCATCTTCGGCACTTCATCATCCTGCGAATATGAAGTCGAACACTTCCTCTTGTTAATGCCAGACGTGTTCCTCAACCGACAAAGCACAAAATCGAAGTCGTAACTTGTATGGCTGTTGCGCTTCCTTGGAGATGCAAAGAGACTGTATTCGTCTAGTTTCCACCCGCCGTGGTCCTCGGAGCCTTCATTCTTGTACCAGAAGGTTCTCTTTAGTCCGATACAGGTAGAATTACCCTCGGTCCCTTCAATCCAAGCGGCCACCGACTTGCCTTCCCAAGTACCTCCGAGCCCCATCCTACGATCAACATTGGAACCCTTGGGGGTTTTCTTCTTGAGCTCAGAGAAGAAGTACATGGCGGGTTGATCAGTAGCGCCAAGTTGAAGTGCCGCTCCTCCCCCAAAAGCTTCCCAAATCTGAGAGGGTTGGAATTTGTTGCCGAAGAGGTTGCACTTGTGCATGAAGGTGCTGTGCGGAGGCGGGGGTAGTAGCCGCGGTGTCTTCACCAAAAAGTAGTGGAGAAAGCCACCGACGAGTTCTTGATCGGTGGGTTTGAAGCGCAAACCGGGCCGGGCAAGGGAATGGTTCTCCATTAACACCACAACGCAGAAGAAGATGATTCGAGTCGGGTAGTGAAGTAGGTTTGTGCTGTGGTTGCTGTGGTTTTTGATGTGACGATTAGAGAGGGCGTTGTTTGGGTATTTATAGAATGCAATCTCCTGAAGCTATTAGGATTTACTGAATTTGAATTCAGAATTTTAGAGAGAGATAGAGAGAGGGAGAGGGGGAGTGGCAGTGTAGTTGCTTGGAGGGTAAGTAAGAAATTAGAAACCCTAACTTTAAGTCGTCCTGATTGTATTAGGAAATACAGAAAGAAACCCAATTTTAGTAGGATTCTCTTTATTTATGTTAACCACGTGCTTAATTTATTTTAATTTAAATTTCTTCATATTTTTTCGTTAATTCTTTTAATTCTAAAATATTGTATATGCTCGCTCTGTTTTTTCTTTTATATTATTCGCTCATATATTTTTCTTTTTTCACAAAAGGGAGAGGTTATGGAGAATTTTACTCTGATCGTCGCCACAGTCAAGTAGATTCATCGGCTTGGAGCATTGAACCCGGGGGTCTCTCATTTTTTGTTTATTAGAGAGCCGTAGTCCGCATCCTTACCACTGAACCAGTTGCTGTGGTTTATTATAAAGAAATTTCAATTTTGGTATTTACCAAACTCAAACTCCAACTTTCTTTTTCACCGCGCTCCTCGCCGCGCCAATTTCTCTAGCAACCGGCATTGTGCCATAGGTCCCGCCACAACAATGACTACGGAACTGGAAGTTGGAAAGCCGGGCTGGGTCGGAGATCAGGTTTTAACTTAATCTCCATATGTAATTTGGATTGGGTTCTGACTAGTCAGTTGTATGCATGCAAAATGTTCGATAAAATGCCGTCCTCTCCAACTTAGTGGTTGGTTTGCGTTTGCTTTGTTCTGTTTTGTTTAAATATAGTTTCTTTTAGCCTTCTCACAATTGCTAACTTGCATTGTAAGTTCGTATGCTTACATTGTTGGTCCGTTGTCACGTACATGGCTTGTGAATCGGGCATTGCAGCATTTGCCTCGAGACAAGGTTCAGTTGGCTACAAAATTTGGTCTCGTAAGGTTTGACACTGATGACGTTGTAGTAAATGGCACTACTGACTATGTCCAGTCATGTTGTTGAAGGTAGCCTGAAACGCCTTGGTGTGGACTACATTGATGATTATTATCTGCAAGGCGTAGATACGTCTTCATAGAGGACACTGAAAGTGTTACCCATACTTCCTCGCATTTAGTTGCAATGTTAAAACTTTTGGTTAGTTTTTTTTTCCCAAAATTCCTCGTCGTTTTAGTTGATTATTGAAGCTAGTCCAGATACAATAAGGAGGGACATGCAGTTCATCCCATTGCTCCCAAACAGATAGTGGTTTTGGACTCGCGACATTGAGGAAGAAATCATCTGAATCTAGTCCAGACACAATAATGTGATCATTTTCCCTCCCATTGTTGGCAGGAGAACCATGTAGAGGTGCCTCAACGGTTCCCAAAGAAGTCTAAACTGTTCATCGCTCATGCTGCTGAAAATTGGAATGCTGAGTTTTACTCCAGATTCAATGACGATGTTTATGCAACTGTTGGTCAGTATTATCATTTATTAGACGGGACACGAACGCTTTTCAATTTGCATTTGTATGATAATTGAGTCCAAATTAATTCAGGTATGGTTTCTTTTCAGTCCTTTTTTTGTTTTTCAAAATTTGAAATTGCTGGCAGTGAAAATGGTATTTCTTATATTGAATATAGCTTAGAGTAAATTGTATGATCATATTGTGAATGGCTCTGTCTGGAGATTGCACAATTCACTATTGGCACTTGTGTAGGATATCTGTGTCTCATTCATGTTTTGCAACTAGCTCTGGAACAATGTTTCAAATAAACGGAATCATTGGCACCTTTGGAGTACCAAAATTTGATCTCCTGATGCTGCTTATTGCAATCGTATCTTCTCTCGTGCTAGGGGTTATTTTCCTCTTAGATCAGTGCTAGGACTAATCTCCTGATGCTGCTTTGTAATTGTATCTTTCATGACTCCTATATGCCATTTGATGCAGATTCAATGTGAATCCAAGGCACCAAATGCGAGAGCACAATGGCAAAGCGTCCATGGGAAATCTATGGTTTCACAACTGACGCATTGGTCTCCAGGTTTCTTCATTTCTTTTCTTTCCACGTAAAGTTAGTTCTTTTAATCATGACTGATTGGGATCAAATTAGATGCAAATTAATCTTTGTTCAACCTTTTGAGTTTTTACTGGAACAATCAATCTTTCTACTTGTACTGCCCTGCTTTGATATCTGCGAGTACTGCGACCTGGTTTGAGCTGTCTTACATCTTGAGTTAGTTTTACTTTCTTTCTCCAAATCCTGCTCATTCTTTACCTTCTTGCGGTAATTAAGCTTTGTGTTCGTGCCTAAAGAAGTCGAATTTAAATTATAACTAGCTGCAGAAAAGAAATTATTCTTTCTGTGCAAATTAAAAAGAAAATCAAGTTGAATTTAAGAGAGCATTATTTGGTCGTCAAATTTACAAATCATCAAAAGTAAAATTACTGGAAAAACGAAGCCAGTTCATTGATAATTTTACATGATCATTCGGAACAAAACACAATAGACAACTAAAGAAACACTAAAATTAATAAGAAGAGAAATTAAAGCCGGTGAAAATCGTGTTACAAATCTTCATTCAGTAACAAGTTCTGCAGGTAGTGAAATTAATTACATCAAAATAAGTGGCATGAACTGATCTTCTGTAAACAAATAACTATCCAATTAGCGGCTTCAGAATAATGATTGGTCGACCACATTGTCGAAGGCACTTGGATGATAAGCTTCCTCTACTCCTCCATCGGCAAACATAAAATCCCTGTAGAAACTTGGATTCAGAGGTTCCTCTTCTTGCGTTTCAGCCAGCCAATATTGCTCTAATAAACTTGGATCCCAAGCTTTCTCTTCAACGGTTCCATCTTCAGCAGTCCCAGATGATGCTGGTAAAGGCAGTTCTCGGGTTTCAGGAATTAACTCCTCTAACATATTTGGATTCAATGCTTCATCTTCCACTTCTCCATGGGCAACGACAACAGTGGAAGAAACCGACAGTGGCACTTCTTGTCTTTCTTTACCCAATAACAATTCCTCTGAGGCAGAAGCTGTTAGAAAAAGCGCTTCTACTGATCCATCGGTCGGCTCTTTAGCCAATATTTTGTCTAATTCGGCAACAGTGATGGTCAATCTCAGATCATTATCATCATAACCATAATCAACATAATCACCGACCGCAAATTCATTGTTCTCTTGATAAGAAACCACAGAATTACTAGTTAGACAAGAATAATTGCCTTGTCGTCCTTCCTCCTCAACATTGATCGCATGCATGTTTTGTTCGATCTCTTCGTTAGGACGCTGCTTCTTCATCTTTGGCACTTCATCATCCTGTGAAGATGAAGTCGAACACTTTCTCTTGTTAATGCCAGACGTGTTCCTCAACCGACAGAGCACAAAATCGAAGTCGTAACCTGTATGGCTGTTGCGCTTCCTCGGAGATGCAAAGAGACTGTATTCATCCAGTTTCCACCCACCGTGGTCTTCGGAGCCTTCATTCTTGTACCAGAAGGTTCTCTTTAGTCCGATACAGGTAGAATTACCCTCAGTCCCTTCAACCCAAGCGGGCACCGACTTGCCTTCCCAAGTACCTCCGAGCCCCATCTTTCGATCAACATTGGAACCCTCGGGGGTTATCTTCTTAAGCTCGGAGAAGAAGTACAAGGCGGGTTGATCAGCAGCAGCAAGTTGAAGTGCTGCTGGTCCCCCAAAAGCTTCCCAAATTTGAGAGGGTTGGGATTTATTGCCGAAGAGGTTGCACATGTGCATGAAGGTGTTGTGTGGCGGCGGGGGCAGTAGCCGCGGTGTCTTCAATAAAAAGTAATGGAGAAAGGTACCGATGAGTTCTTGATCGGTGGGTTTGAAGCGGACCCCGGGCGGGAAAAGGGAATGGTTCTCCATTAACACCACAACGCAGAAGAAGTGGAGTAGTGAAGAGTAGGTTTGTGTTGTGGTTGCTGTGGCTTTTGATGTGACGATTAGAGAGGGCGTTGTTTGGGTATTTATAGAATGCAATCTCCTGAACCTATTAGGATTTACCGAATTTGGATTTAGAATTGTAGAGAGAGAGAGAGAGAGAGCGAAAAGTTAGAGGTATATTTAGAGAGAGAGAGAGGGGGGGAGTGGCAGTGTAGTTGCTTGGAGGGTAAGAAATTAGAAACCCTAACTCTAAGTCGTCCTGTTTGTCTTAGGAAATAGAGAGAAACCCACTTTTAGTAGGACTCCGACTCTCTTCATTTTAATTAATCGCGTGCAAATTTCCCCTTATTTTCGTTGGTTCTTTTAATTTCAGATAAAACGGTATATGCTCCCTTCCTTTATGTGATGTTTTCATAGCCGATAAGTCGTTTTAATTACCCACGTATTTAATTTATTTTAATTCAAAAATTTCAACTTTTTTTTTCGTTAATTCTTGTAATTTCAAAAGAAGAAAAAAAATAGTATCTATGCAAATTTATGAAAAAAAATAGTATATGCAAATTAGTTAATACTTAAATATTTTTAATTTCAAGTGATAATATTAATTACATTTGTGAGGCCCAGTTATGTGTCACATGACCATATAACAAAATTTTTGTTGATTTGCAACACCTATTTTTAGGAACTACATTAATTGATTATTAATTTCAGAGACTATCTTGATGTGGTGGGTCAATTTCAGGGACCATTTGTGATAAAAACCCTTCTTTTAATTTGACAACCACAAGGTTAGAAAAGAGTTATAGGCGTGGGAATGGGGGTGTGTGTGTGTGTGTTCTGCTCGGAGGGAGGGAGAGGAAGACAAAGAGAAAGAAAGAGAGAGAGAGAGAGAGTAAGAGGAAATAACAGAAAAGGGAAAGGGAAGGGGACAAAACAGGGGGTGGGCCCCTTGGGCTCACCAATTAAGGCTCAAAAACAATTTTAAAAAGGAAGGTATCCTCAAACTTAGTGAAAATATAAAAATACCAATTTTCTTACGTAAATCCCGGAACGGGTTGTTACAGTTGACCTTGATAAGTTGTTGCTTGTTGTTTTGGCAGCAGCAGTAGTGGAGGTAGAAGTAAGTTTCCTACAGGTGACGAGTAGTGTTGGAGATATGGTGGTGGTGGTAGTCATGATGACGATAAAAAAATTGGAGGATCCAAAACTTCAAAATCACCATTCATACGTAAAAAAAAAAAAAAAAGGTTTTTATTTCTATGAATGCATCTTAGGATTTTTGTCCCAATAGAACATCGAAGAAAGATTAGTGATGGTTAGTGTTTGATTATTTTGGGGGGTGGGAGGGGGTATATTGATAAATTTTACTTTTATAATTAATTTCATCTTGTACATGATAGTAATTATACAATAGGATAATAAAGACATTTCATATTTAAAATTTAAGTTGCGTGTAGAAAGAGGTTAAATGGGTTTAAATAAAATTTCTTGTCTTTTACATGGTTTCATTAAATGGAAGTGTAATGCTTTCAGCAGTATGATAAATAGCCACTTATTGTATGCGATGTTTGTAACAATGTGTAATGCTTTCAGCAGCTTTCAGCAGTACGATAAATAGCCACAAATTTTAGAACATCGATTTGCACCCATTATCGAACATCATTGGTGGTATCGTTTTTTCTTTTCCATGGTATAGGAAATTTGAACTTAAAATCTCTTCTAACAATGTCGATTCCATGACATGAAAAGTTGGCGGTACAGGAGATTGAGAAACACCTATTCCCAATGACAAACTCAGGCTAAGAAAAGGAAGAGGATGAGAGATTGTACAGGAGGCAGAGAGGTACAAAGCTGAAAGTGAGGAGGTTAAGACCAAGTTGAATGCCAAGAACTCGTTCGCTCGAGAACTACACCTACTACATGTGGAACTTCATGAAGGATGAGAATGTTGCTGGGAAATTGGACCCTGCACACATGCCCTTGCTGCTACGGACTAATAGAAAGTTATACCTGTACACCAAGTATTCTGCTGGTTGTCCACACCTGCCGTAATAGATAAAGGTCAAGCTTTGAATGACCGCACCTGCAGGAAGAAACATCAGATTTTATAGTTCGTAATCCAGCAGTTGATCAGCAAAATGATACTGGAAAGATAATAACAATGTATATGGATGCAATCAAGAAGTAAAATGATGATTGCACAAAGCAATTTAGTTTCATCGCATCAGATAGAAGCGTAAATCTGCTGATCACAGTAGTGTTGAACTGGGACAAAGGGATCAATTACCAACTATACCTGCAGATAATGATCAGTCACCCAGCAGAAGCTATCTCAGGCCTTGGACGTGGAGATGAGGTAATGTACTTACAGCTCAGCTCCGCTATGCAGAAACATTTTATTGACTTACTACAAAGGAGAAGCAAACAAGTGCATGATTGTTCTTATTGTTTGGTCAAATAATTTAGAGGAGTCATCGTCATATTTGCCTGACGGCACATTGTAGGAAGCAAGTGTGAAATATTGTTTAAATCTTACAGGCTTCAGAGAAATAATTTTTTTCCCGTTGCCACTCTAATCGCATTGTGTTTGTTGTATATTACATTCCACCCGTTCTACTTATGCAGAGGAATTCTGAAATTTGACAATGGCGGTGTTTCCAATTTTATGGGGTTGAAAGAATTTCAGTACAATTAGCACCTGACTTGGATTCAATTGAAGAATAAATAATTGATTTCCTGCAAATTAACTCTTAACCTGCTTACGCTTAAATTTTTTGTGTTCAAAATGTGAATGCTATGTTTCCTAAACATGATTAATTAAGCCGCCAACAAGAACTTGCAAATTAAAAGGACATCGTGAACATGTAAAGCAAAGGAATGACGACTTAAGACTCAACTTATAGAACGAACAAAGTTAATTCATCATTGAAATTGAAGAAACACAAAACATACTAATAGAGGAAATTAAAGCCGATCAAACTATGGTGGCATGAACTGATCATCCATAAACGAATTATTCCAATAGTTGATGTCGAATAATGATTGGTCGACCACGTTCTCAAAGGTACTTGGATTGCAAGCTTCCTCTAAATAAGGAAACATCCCAGTCATAGTCGGAAAAGGCTCTTGTTGGGTTTCAGCAAGCCAATATTCGTCTAACAAACTTGGATCCCAAGCTTTCTGTCCTACGGCTCCATCTGCAGCAACTACAGCAGCTGCTGGCAGAGGCAGTTCTTGGGTTTCAGGAGTGAACTCCTCCAACATAATTGGATTCAAAGCTTGCTCTTCTACTGCTTCACCAGAAACGATCCCGGAAGCTTCTAGCACAGGCAATAATTCATCGACGGTGAGTGTTTCATCAAGGAGATCATGATCATAAACAACATCATCTGCATCTGTAAACTTATTGATCTCTCTCACGGCCACGATCTCACTACTTAAACAAGAACTGCCTTGTGGTGCCTCCTCCTCAGCAAGATTAATCACATTGATATTTTGTGATGATGAACCCTTTGACACCACTTGATCATCTTCTTTTTTCATCTTTTTGTTTGTACTGCGCTGCTTCTTCGAATTCGGCAGTTGATCCTTTGATAATGATGAAGTCGAACACTTTCTTTTGTTAATTCTGGACCCTTCCTTCCTCCTCAACCGACAAAGTGCAACATTAAAATCGTAGCTAAAATTACTCTTGTTATTCCTAGGACCAGCAAAATGACTATATTCATCTAACAGCCACCTCTTGTGGTCGTCCGAACCTTCGTTCTTGTACCGAAATGTTCTTTTTAGTCCAATGTCGGTAGGCCTCCCATCAACTATCCCCTCAACCCGTACGGTGGCTGCTTTTCCAGTCCAAGTACCTCCACGTCCCATCTTGCGATCGATGTTGGTACCCTTAGGGTTTAGCCTCTTGAGCTCGGTAAAGAAATACAAGGCTGGTTGATCATCAGCAAGTTGAGTTCCTCCATAGGCTTCCCAAATCTCTGAGGGTTCTGATTTGTTGCCGAAGATGTTGCACCCATGTATAAGGGTGTTATACAGCGGCACTAGCGGTATGTTCTCCAAAAAGTTGTAGAGAAAGTGGCCCACGAGCTCTTGATCGGTGGGTTTGAAGCGGAAGCCGAACGGCACAAGGGAATTATTCTCCATAGCTAAGGTAACACCAGAAGAGACTGAGTCAAGTGAATTAATGTTGTCTGTTTTCTTGTGGTTTCGATCGGACAAGAACCAGCGCAGTTTGTTTCTTCTCCCTGTAGTTGTTTTGGTTTGAGCAAGTGATCGTGAGATTTGTGAGTGGATCGTTACTTGGGTACTTATAGGTTCCGACGAGTACAGGGATATTGGTAAGTTACTTACAGATTAAGGATTTAAAACTCCTGATGCTTGTAGGAATTACTGACAGGATTAGGGTTTTGGTAAGTTGCTTGGAGAGCAGGGAATAGAATCCTAAAGTTACTAGGATTTAGAGGATTAACCGTAACTTTGACGGTACATGAGAGGTCTGAAAAATTAAAAGTTAAATTTGCATAGGTAATTAAGATTCACTCCATTAGGTAATTAGTATAACTATACTACGAATCCCTAACTCAATTGGTAAGCCTTCATTGCTCAATCTTACACGTCAGATAGTGATAGTTTATGCTATGGTTTCGTTTTATTTTCCTTGTTAACTCCATAAAGTTTTAAAACGGAAATTGTATAAACTACGGAAATTTTTGAGAAACGAAGGGAATAAGCTTTGGAAAAATAATTTTTAATTTCTGACTTAACTATAAAAAATAGGGAAATAATATGCTTCCCTAAAGAGAAGAGGTTTATGTGACATTATCAAACAGTAAATAGCATATATAGTAGAAAATTAGGAATCTTCTGAAACATGAGGCTTGTGCAATGGTTAAAAATCTTAATTTATTCAAATTTGTTTATCTTCCACTTAATACATGCTCTATTTTTAGTACAAGAAGTAAAAGTAAAATAGCTCTAGCTGTTTGGAATAATATTCAACATCACTTCATGGATTGCCACTTCCTATATAGGATGACTGATAGGATTCTCTCAAGAATGGTAGAAGAACTTTAGAGAACACTGCTGAAGGTGATTCTAAATTAATTGTTGATTGTATTATGAGAAACAGTTTTTAAGGATCAATGAACGTCTTACAACTCGCATATTTGTTTTCTTAAAAAGAAAACCAGAGTACGCAATAAACCCTGATTTGACATTGAGGTGCTTAAAGAAAAAGTAGGGATGAAAAAAAGCTAGAGTAAAATTTTTTTGTTTGTTAACTCTGCTTATTTTCAAAGTCACTGTTATTTTAAGTTGAAAAGTTGCTGCTTCTCAAAACCAGCTTTTTTTTTTTTTTTTAAGAGGCGGGTGAACAGTAGAATTTAATGAAACTTTCACAATCTAAAAAAATACCCTCCTCCGTTTCTCCTTCTTGCTGAGTTGAAGATCGAATTTTCATAGTTGATATTCTTATTTCACCGAATATGTAGAGGTGGGAGGGGCAACGAGATCCAAGAGGTGGGCGGAGGAATCGAGGCGGGTAACGGGGGCGGCGCACGTCTTAGGACATGGGACAGTGAAGGAAGTCATTAGAGTGTGCGGTGAAGCAAAGCAAAAGCAGAGTGAGCTCCTTGTTTTGATTCCTGCACAGATATGGGAATTGGGAATGGGGAAATGGGGAAATGGGGAGGTGGGATCTGAAGGAGGAATGGGAATGGTGGGGGAGGGATATGTAGAGGAGGGAGGGGCGATGAGATCCAAGAGGTGGGTTTGTTTTGTTGTTTCGGGATTGAGAAATCTGAGAGAGGGGGGAAATAGGGAAAGGACTGATTTTGTCCTGATTCTTGCCGGAGAGCTTAAGGATTTGAGTTCTTAGATTTTCTTATCCCTAGCACCCAAAACACGATTCCTGGAACCCAAACTTGGGGTTAAATTCGTAGAGGTGGAGATGATGATAATTTGGTGGTGAGATGGTTTGAGATCGAAGGTTTGTGTGCAGGGTTGTCTTGGTGGAGGAGTGAGTGTAGAGAGAGAGAAAGAGAGAGCTGACAGTTTTCGAGAGAGTTCAGGAGTGTAGAGGGAAATGAAGACACAAGGATAAGGGAAATGGGGTGTGGGCCTCACGGCCACACAAAATCCTCACATAAAAATAGTAATATTAAATAAAATATCATAATAATAATATAATATTATACCATTTTTTGTCATTTCATTATACCATTTTTGGTCATTTCACATAGTCATAATTGTTTTACATAAAAGTTTACCAAACATTATCATATTGCTTTTTTTTTTTTTTTTCCAAAAGCACTTTTACAAAAAAATTTATCAAACATTCTGCTGCTTTATTTCACAGTTGCTTATTCTCACAGCACAACAAAAACAGCTCTTTTTTTCAAAGCACAGCAATATCAAACCAGCCCGAAGAGGCTTAACCTAAAGCCCAACTCTAATGTGGTTGAAAACAATCTTATTATAATTTTGTTCCTATGTTTCGGATATAAAGTCTCATCCAAAGCATTAGATAAAGTTGATATTGAGATATTGGGCCCTTATGGTATCTCGTATGCATATATAAAGAATTTTATTATATCATATGGGCATTATGTTTTTCGAAAACAGAAGAGGATTCTTTATTTAATATCATTGTTTGTATAGAACTGTGTGTGTAAGAATTAATGTTGTTAACCACTTTTAACTGCACAATCTCCTTTGCTACTAAACTTCCTCGTCTATACAAGATGGTGTTCGTTGCCTTAATGTACAAATTTTCTAACTCACTGTCCTGTAAAACTCTCACAAACTGAAGTGAGCTGGAAAATCTCCAACATCCATAGGCAAGGAAAGAGGCAGAACCCAGTCAGATATGGGCTTAAAATAATAACAAGGGAAAAGCACCCCATTTACCCATTCCTGCAGGCCTTAAAATCAGAAACATAATCTCTTAAAATCTTAATTACTCTCCACGAAATAGGGAGAAAAATCATTTTTATTCTGAAAAAAAAAAAAAAAAAAAAACCCTAACAACCGATTTCTCTGGAACCCTAATTACCCAAATCTCCCAATTCATATTGTATCCCAACTTACCTTTCGTTGTTGTTGGCTCAGTAACCCCACACCGCCCTTTTTCTTTCAGACACTATTAAATCCGAAAGATGCAATCTTCAACCTCTCTCCTTTGATATACCCCAGTTTATGGAGATAAAATCCCAATCCACTCCAACCCAACACCAAATCAATCAATTTATCCTAATCCGACCCGAACCCGTTTCCAAAACCAAACTTTCCGACGACCCATCTCGCCGGCCGCCGCTTTCTCACTCCCCATGGCCACCGACGCCACCGCCAAGTTCCAAAACCCGGACTTTCACCCGGTTTCGAAGCCGCAGGATTACGTCCCAACCCCCACTGTCTCGCCCCACGACGGCCTACACTACTGGCAGTTCATGATCGCCGGTTCGATTGCTGGCATGGTCGAACACATGGCTATGTTCCCGGTCGACACCGTTAAAACCCATATGCAAGCTCTCGGGTCGTGCCCGATTAAGTCCGTCGGGGTCCGGCAGGCCCTCGGGTCAATTTTAAAGTCCGAGGGACCTGCTGCGCTATACCGCGGTATTGGAGCCATGGGCCTCGGCGCGGGACCGGCGCACGCCGTCTACTTCTCGATGTACGAGATGTGCAAGAAGTATTTCTCGGGCGGGAACCCGAACAACCCGGGCGCCCACGCAATTTCCGGCGTGTTTGCAACGGTGGCGAGCGACGCCGTTTTTACCCCGATGGATATGGTGAAGCAAAGGCTGCAGCTGGGGACTAATTTGCACAGCCCGTACAATGGGGTGTGGGATTGTGTGCGGAAGGTGTTCAGGGAAGACGGGGTTAGGGCGTTTTACGCGTCGTACAGAACGACGGTGCTGATGAATGCGCCGTACACGGCGGTGCATTTCGCGACGTATGAGGCGGCAAAGAGGGCTTTGAATGAGATTTCGTCGGAGCATGCGGACGACGAGCGGTTGATTGTTCATGCCACTGCTGGTGCTGCCGCTGGGGGGTTGGCTTCGGTAGTTACTACGCCGCTTGATGTGGTGAAAACTCAATTACAGTGTCAGGTATGGTAATTGTTGGCCTTTCCATATTAAGATTCACTTGTTGGTTTGATTTACATACATTCGGATGCAATTGATAACCTTTTAGTTTCATTATTCAATCAATCACTTTAATTCCCTGCTAGTTTCAAGCCCACGGTACTAGGCTCGGCGATAATTGATAGCCTGTAGTTACTAAGAAAATGTAGACACTGATTACTTAGCCGTGTGATCTTTTCGATTCCCAGCATCCAATAGCGATGTTCCATAGCAATAAGGTGGTAGTTCTGTTTTGTAGGTTTTAGCAAAATTTGTCTACTGATGAAATCCTAGGTTATTGTTATGTGGACTGGATGTTTGTGCTTGCATAGTGTGTTTTTCTCTTTCTCATGTAAAGAGGTAATATGGGGCAGAGAGACCAAATAATCTTGTCAAAAGTCGATTGGTTAAAGCGCTCTCTCATGTTATTCAGTGATTGTATCCTTTTTTATGTATAGTCCTGTTTAAGCGGTCTCTTGAAAGTGGGATTCTGCGTCACAATCACGATTAGTTGGTCTGGTTGGGCAACATACTATTAAGAATTGGAACGAATGACTGATAAATCATAGGCCTTAGTTGTAATGGAATTATGGTAACTGATGATTCATATGCCTGTAGTTGTAATTGAATTACTATATCAGTTGATTCTTCCGATGATTCACGTACCTTTAGTTGTGATGGTATATTACTAGGCGTTGGATGATTTGATTGAAGGTTTAAATACTCGTATGAATGCAAACCTGTCTGAAGCTTTTCTGCTTTTCTTAACATGGATTTTGTTGTACAGGGTATTTGCGGATGTGACAGATTTAAAAGTGGTTCAATAAGTGATGTTTTCAGAACAATAGTGAGAAAGGATGGATACAAAGGGCTGGTGAGGGGGTGGGCTCCGAGAATGCTTTTCCATGCCCCGGCTGCTGCCATCTGCTGGTCTACATATGAAGCCTCAAAAACCTTCTTCCAAGATCTCAATGGTAGTAGTAACAGCGGCACTGTAACCTGAAGAGACCTCTAAAGACAAACGAGATTTTTCCGTTTCATTAGCGATACATCTGTAGCCTGTATAATGGACAATCGGAGTTGCTTCACACAAAGGATGAGTAACAGGGTAAGAAAGTCGATCGGAATTTTTTCATACCTGACTCCAGTCTAGTTAATGGGCAGTGGTAGTCTGGTGAGTTGGATTCATTGGTGTAGGTTAAATTAATTGTACTTCAGCATTGTTGTCTGTTTTAATAATTTTTTTCCCGGTCACAGATTTTGTTTGAATAAACGTAGAAATCAAATATTTTGTTCTTTCATTCCTCAAGAGTTTGTGTTACATGAACGAAACCCTTTGTAGTCTTATTCATCATTGGGTTTCTTGTTGTTGTATGAATCAATCAATCAATCATAAAGTTTTGAGTTATATTCGATCTCTCGAAAATAATTTTGGCGCGTGTTGTTGATTTCTGCTTCATGTTAGGGCCATATCGGTCCTACTTTTCTAGACACTTTCTGTTCAAAAATTCAAGTGCTTCTCGGAAAAGCACTTTGAACACACTAAATAATCCACAAATGCTTTTACATCTTTTTGTCAGGCGTTATTAGAAGTGCTTTGGATTGTTTGAAGCTTCTAGCCATTCGAAAAGCATTTCCAAACAAAACAAATATTGACACAAAAGTCGTGCTAGCACAATTTTAATGTGTAAATGTTTCACTTGCTGTAAGTTTCCGTGGATCTCTCACTGCTACAAGACCATAAAAAAACAGATGAAAATCGACGTGAAATCACGGCTACCCGGAGAAGGGAATGTTTGTATTTGAAGTTCCAATCTCTTGGAGGACACCAAAATGCTTCAGAAGCTAACAACCTGACCAACAATCAGAGTGACAGCATCCGGCTTTCCACCTGCACAACAGAAGACTTAGGTCCGTCATGACATCGAAGATTGAGGTCCTTATCTTTCGTCATTGTATAAGCAATTAGATTTACAAAAATGGCGAATCCAAGACGTTTTGGAAATCTGTTTATTCGTTTGTTGTAGGCTCTATGCAACTATGAAGTAGTGACTGTTTTCATACCAGCACTTGAAATTCGTAGATCCGTTATGTTTCAATGTGGAGAGCAGCCAGAGGAGATATAAAACTCCCTAAGATATTTGTGTATGTGTGTGTGAAGTTGATTCGAATTAGAACGCTGGACTAGAAATGTTGACAGTAATCGTGTACTGTTAGATCGGTGTAAAATACCATCGCATCATGGTACGTTTGGCCAACGATCTCCGAACTAAGTTGGTATGGACAATCGAAATAGTGTTCTTGTGGAGATGTGGAAAAATTAATTTTACCTGCAATTCACATTTGCATGTCATTTGAAGATAAAGCAGTCGAGAGTTGATAAACACTTGTGCACAAGAAAAACATCCGGTGTTACCTTCACGAATAACCCTTAATCCGCAATCCCTGAAATTGGTAATTTTCAGAGTCCCATTCCTATCCAGCACGGCAATAATTCTACTTAGATAAAGGAAAGCTAAAGTAAGAATCTCTTGAACAAATGCGGCAAACTACAGCGAAGATTTCTTGATCGAAATGATGAACTTACACCGTAGCAGAACCTGTCGAGGAGGTACAACTATATAAGCATGTGCCTTTCCTATCAGAATCTGAGGATTGTTGTTCAGCTGCTATGTAGGACATGCATAGTGTTTCTTAGCAAACACGAAATTTGCACAAGCTCGAAAATCTACTTAACAAAGTGAAAGTGGTACTTTGGTTTTGAGAGAAACTACCTCCTCATCTCCCACAAGATTTGAGACGTTGGCCATCAATTCTTTGGGGAACAATGAAGGATCCACATCCTGTTCAGCGCAACTGCCAAGCCAAAAAAATGAGAAGATCTGAACTTCCGAAATCAACAGATGAATTATGTGTCCTTGGAGTTTCTTAAACCAAATTTCCCTGGATTTCTTGTTCTTTTTCGAATCGTAAAACGTCATAGGGTAGATAAGCAAGCCAACATAAGCTCCATACGCAGAAACACCATCAGCAATAGCAAGAACTCCCCCATTGTAGCTGCTCACAAAGAAAGCATCTTCCCCACCTTTTTCAACCTTTTTCAACAGACAAAAAAATATAGAGTATCAAGTATAGTATACACGCAGGTCTTGTTTGGCATCTAGGGTTGAACTGAATTAGATAATTCAAGGTAGAAGATGGATTAGACGTCAATGATCTTATCCCTCCAATCCTCATAAATGGTAGAATTGCAAGGTGTAAGATCCTTCAATTAAAATCCATAAAAACCTCTTCAATTAAAATCCAAAGTGGAAAAGTACTTACCTTTTTCTTGGGATAATACATGTGTCTATCTTTTAGTTGCACGTTATTGTTCACTTTGTTGTAATTAACGTATTTTTGATCGTATAAATATTAGTTACTATCAAAATTATTAATTTATTTCATACATATACATGATTAAATGATACTCATCTGATTTTTTTTCTTCTGCAAATATAATGTTTAAATGTATATTAAGAAAACAATGATGCATGTTGTGATGTTTAGACAGTGAAATATACGTCATGAAAAAAAAAAATTTTGTTGTCATAAACCAACAAAAGTATTTTGTAAAATGATAAATACATATTTTTTTAGCTTCTCACACAATTCTATTTTATTTTGGCCACTGTTTTTATTTGATTTATTCAATCACATAGGAAAAGACAAGGGAGTGTGTAATAGGCTAAAAGGGGAGTGTGAGCATTACCCGAAAGCAATTTAGTGTCTTTTCCTCTAAAGTACCAACAAAGCACCAGTGGTCTAGTGGTAGAATAGTACCCTGCCACGGTACAGACCCGGGTTCGATTCCCGGCTGGTGCATTCTTTTTTTCCTTATTTATTCTTTATATATATATATATATATCGCTTCCAACTTCCGGTTCGCACATATTCCGGTCTGTTTCCCCCAAAACGCTCTCTCTTCTCACATTTTTGGTTCTCTTGACCGCTGGAAGTTGGAACAACGACGATGAACGCCACAGCTCCGCCTGACGTCATCCAAGGTTTCGGATTTCCCACAAACTTCTCCTTTATTTTTTTTTCACTTGTTAATTTTCCCTACTCGTCGATTATTCTTTACAATTATTATTGGTATGTGCATTGTAATTTCAGTCACAGATTACCAGAACGGAAGCGATTCCGACACCAACATCGACGACGACGACGGCGATGCAGCCGGCGCCGAGTTCTACCAGCCAGTCTCCGCCGTCGACTCCGAAGACTCCGAAGACCAGATCGGAAACGACGCCGTCCCGATCCACTCCCAGCTGCACTCCAACGGCGTCACTGTCAATCAGGTCGACGGAGGAATCTCGTCTCTCCAGCTAAACGACGGCGTCGGGCGCAATGATCGCTTGAACAGCAGCAGCGATGACGAAGCGGAAGCAGAAGAAGTGGAGGAGGAGGTCGCTTCCGACTCGGAGATAATTAGGGCTTTCAGAGAAGACGAGAATCGCAGAAACGCGCCGCTTACGGCGGAGAACGCGACGAGGGTCAGGGAGGCCATGCGAGGAATTTCCTTCGCCGGAGCACCTCCGCATTGGGCGGGTCTGATCCCCGAGAACAACTGGATGGACCGCCTTCGCGGGCTCGGGCAATCTTCGTCCCGGAGGTGAAAATGTTTAATCTTTGTATCTCGTTTTCTCCGATTGGAGTGGATTGCAAATTTTCAAATCTGTTGGATTTGCGTGTAATCAGACTTATATGTAAAATGTAATTTCAATAACATTACTATCCAGCAATTCACATAATTCTGGGGCAATCTACAAAAAAAGAGAAAAACCAATTCTTCCAGCTTATTATGCACTACTAATTTTGATTAGTTCTACAAAACTCTAAAACAGTAGTAAATTCGGGCAAAGTTTTGCCGTTGAAGCCGCTTCATCTGCCCCGTTCTCTCCATTTGCCGCCTACAGCCGCCAGGTGCCGCCATTAGCAAACGTATTACATTGTAATCGGATACCCTTGGAGAAGAAGGTGCATTATGGCCTTTCTCAAGCAGCAATGTTCTCAATGTCTGCACTTCTCTCCATTCTCTTCACAATACCAGCTATAACCTGATACATGATCCGTACAACTTTAGCTACGACGAAGATCAACTGAAATTCTATTAGTGTTCTGTGTAGTGTTGTGTACCTTTCCGGGTCCCAATTCATAACTCTTCTTCAGCCCCTTGCCGAGGAGGGTCTTGACGGTTGTTTCCCATTGAACAGGAGAAGTCACCTGTGATTTTGAGTTTAGGTCTTAATCAGTATCTTGGTCGTGAGACGTGATAGGGAGGAGACTGTTCTAGCTAGCTTACCTGACGAGCCAATATCTTCTTAATTGTCTCAGGATCTGAATGTGGCTGTGCGTCAACGTTGGAGATAACTGGTATTCTTGGTGTCCTAATCTGTGTTTCTGCCAACTTAGCTTCCAATCTTGACACGGCTGGTTCCATAAAACTAGTGTGGAAAGCGCCAGCAACAGCTAAACGCACCTGAGCATAATGGAAAAGGGAAGAAGTGCGTTCGTCATCACTAGGTAATAGGAGAAGAATGAAATTGCATCGAAGTAGGAAATGAAGAATGGTACCGTCATTCGGGCCTTGAATGACTTTGCCTTGGCCTCTACTGCTTCTATTCCCTTCACACCACCAGAAACAGCATAATTTCCCTACCGCAACAAAATCATGCCACGGTCAAAATTTTTATTAAAATCGACTAAGATGCAATCAACAAGTCAGGGTTGCGAAGTTGAAGTCCTTACGGTGCATAGATAATTTGCAATTTGAACTTTGTTAGCTTCATCAACTTCTTCATTGGCCGCATCACACAACTGTTGAACCTTGTCTGAGTCCAACCCGATGACACTGACCATGGCACTTTTGGCAGCATCGGCAGCTGCCTGAAGTAAATTGTACAATAGGGAGCATGTTAGTGTACGGAATTATGAACCTATTCCCTCGAGGAGTATGAATCGACACACAACCAAAAATTTACCTGCATGGCTTCTCCTCTCAGTTTGACCAGCTTGAGCCCATCCTCAAAGCTTACATATTGAATCAAGTCAACAAAAAAAATTAGTACAAGAAGGTGGCCAAGTACCACGACTACATTAACATTACTCTTCTTTCCTAAACCAAGCACTAGGTGAACAACGAAAGTGATGCTTCCTCTCCCTCATATTACAAACATGGAAAGGTGGCATAACAGTTAATTTCATGTATAAACTCTTTCATGCTCCTGCCATAACAGAAGTGAGATCACAAAAAGTTAACAAATTTTTTGTTTGGTATGCATCTGTGGATACAGTTGCAATTCCAGCATATGTAGCTCAGTTTGACGACTCACCTGAACGACTCAGCAAATGCGAGAGCAGTATATTCTCCCAAACTCAGGCCACATGTGACATCAACTGAATCAATGATCAGCTGACCTCCTTCACGTGCACGTAGTAACTCAACAGCAGCTAGACTTGTGACGTAAATAGCCGGCTGCAAAGAATTAGCAGATACTTATCAACGACAATCAGAAGAAGAAAAAAAACCTCATTCTCGAACATAGAACATAAATGTTGCATCCTGACCCCAAAAACCATTGACTATAATGTGCACATTCAAAACATATATGGCATAAAACAATCCTGTTTCAGTAGAACTAAACTACCTAACAAGTAACTCAGCACATACCTGGCTTATAACAGTTGAATCTAGCTTCTCTTTCGGTCCATTGATACAAACATCCAAAAGATCAAACCTGCACACAGCTTAGATATTAAATCACTCATGAAAATGACTTCTCGTTAACAGAAAGAAAGTAATTATATCTGATTCAGAGCTAAACTAAAACTATAAAGTTACCCTAAAATATCGTTCGCTTTCTTGTATAACTCTGCAGCAGCAGGAACACTTTGAGCTTCCTTTCCCATTCCAACTGCTTGCGCACCCTGAGTTGCAAAAACAGTACAACATTAACAGAACGAAGCTCAACCCAAAATTCAAAGTCTCTATCTTTATCACCATAACATGATGAAATTCCAAACACATAGGGCTCGTTTGGGAGTGTCCTAAGCTCTTTTGTAAGAAGCGCTTTTATAAATAGCATGTATAAAAAGTTATCAAAAATCCAAGGGCTTACTAGAAGTACTTCTATGTCCCATAAGCGCTTTTGAGTTCTCCGCAAAACGGTGTCAAAAGCGCTTTTGTTTGTTTAGAAGAAGCAAAATTGAACTATTCAATTACAACCCAAATTACAAACTTTTCATGTCAAACCAGCATTCAAATTTAGAATTCAATTCCTAAATCAGAATGACTAAGTTTCATGGTGAATCAGAAGTCTCTATCCCTAGCACCATAGCATGATGACACCCCAAACAAACAAACACGCATGGTCTGTCCGGGGAGGAAGTACTTCTAGCAGAAACATATCAAAGTATATATTAAAACTCCAAGTACGCCTTGGAAAAGCCCTGCACTAAAAGGTATTATGATCCATAACCACTTTTGAGCTTCTGAGTTGTGCAGAAGAAGTAAAATTGAACTATTCAGTTACTAAACCAAATTACAAATTATCCCTAACTACAAACTTTTCATATCAAATTAGCATTCAAATTTTGGATCCAATTCGTAAATTAGACTGGAAATTTGAGCAGTAAAGTAACGACATTGTTCACGTTAAAGAAATTAAATGGCGGCGGAGCAACGAACTCACTTGGCCAGGGAAGAGGAAAGCAGAGGAGGGCTTGTAGTCGGCGAACAAGGCGTCGCTTTGCAGAGTCTGCGATCCAACGGAGGCGGCCATGGAAACTCTAGATTTTCCGAAGTTTCGGACGCCGAGCTGGGCTCCGGCGCCAATCCGGATCCCCGAGAAGGATGAGGAGTTGAGAGAAATGGAGGACGGGAGGGCGATGGAGGCGGCCATGGTGGCGAGTGAGGTGCGAAGGATAAGAGGGTGGTGGGAGGTGTGCATATAAGGAAGGGTAGGCGGATTGAGTGATATAGTGCGCAGAGGGTGTTGAGGTTAGCGGAGTTTACAAAGGTGGACGTTGGAGGCGGCCATCAAAATCAAGAAATACCGTCCAACTGCTTTTTAGTTTTTGTGTCTTGGTTTGGTCATCAGAAATTACTATAAATTTCATCTTTCATAATTAATTAATTAATTAATTATAAAATTCGAAAAAAAATATCTGACATGAGTTTAGCCGAGTTGAATAGAGCATTGGGATCATTCTTGTACACTCAATTTCGAATCTTTTATTTTATTTTTTTTGTTCAAAAAAAGGTCGAATCCTCCCTAAAATCGAGCTATTAGAATATTTATGATGTTCAAACAAATAACAATAACGAGATGATTTAATGAGCTATAGTAGTGTTGAAAAGTATCCATGTCAACAATATCGAGAAGGATTTTCAAGAGAATTCAGGGCCTCTTTTCTGTTTAGTTCATACTCTTTTGGATGACTGCTCACGTATTGCTAGAATTAGACTAATTGTTCTTTAGTGTTTCTTTTCACTTTTTCTTCCCTGTTACCAAAAAAAAATTCAATTTAAACACCAACCCAATGATTAACATTTGCAATTACAATTCCCAACTCTTGTACAGTAAGAAAAGTTTAATTTTACATAATCTTCAACTAAATCTTAAAGTAAACTAATCAAAGATGAAAATTACAATTACAATTAATCAAATTGAATGGCTAGTAAAGCCAAATCAACTTGATTAAAGTAAGAATTCAAGATTCTTGTGGGATTATATATAAATATATGATACAATGGCATCTTTTCTTTCTATTCTTTTGCTATTTTGGTTGAAAATGGGGCAAAAGTTCAAAAGAAAAAGAAAAATTACATAAAAATATCACGAGGTCATGAGACCCCAACTATATCTCCAACTAGCAACTGATGACAAGTAGGAGGAGCTTGCTATAAAAAACTGGACCCAAACTGCATGATAAACCCAAATAAGTCAAATTATCAGCAACAAAATTATTTTCACCGTAAATATGACGAATCTGAGCCAAAAATGGTAAATATTCTTCTCCTACTTTGCTTCTGCTCTTAATATGGTAAAAAAAGGCGTCTCCCTTACCGACGTTGAAGTGACTCTTGTTTCTGTACAAACAATTTGAGTCATGGAAAACAACTTGTTTGCTCGTCTAATCGACAACCATTAATTCACTGGATGGATCCTTCTTGCTTCTAATCGACAAGCATTCAAGAAACTAGCATCTGACAGTAATGCACCGAAGCAGCTGAACTTAAGTTTACCTGGGGTCTTGAATTAAGAACTCCGCTGGACATCCCAACATCAATCCGCCATATGCTACGATCGTACTCACTGCACAGAAGTCCATAATTCAAGAACTGAATCTACAAAAGTACTTTCATTTGGAGCACAAGAACCAAATTGCACAGAAGAACGATTGGCGTCATACCAGTTTGCTCCCGTAGGTTGAGGAGTATGCCCCACAACCATTCCCTTGGCGCCAACTGCTTGTAGCGTCTGTTGAAGAACATAATTTATCTGAAAGATGATTTAAACAAGTCAGTATAAGACAACATTCAGGAGGACAAGAACTCAATCTTGAACCCCAATCTCGTTAGAAGAAGAGGACCGATTTATATGATATCGAAACAACCAAGGATTTCCAAGATATTGTCCAATGCAGTCAATGAAATCTGCTGGCGGTTCTTTTTACTTCTAATCGAGTTATTTTACCCTGAGTATTGAAACAACTGAATATGAAAAGGGAACCAAAACATTGTCATTGACATGCCTGGTTAATCTGATGGTCATCTAAATCTGATGTATCTCTCGAGTACAAGCGGTTCCAAACTACACTGTCATATCCCCTGGTGGCGATGAAAGGGAAGTGTGGGTTGTCATCACTCTCAACAAGGCCTCTCATCCAGTCAGATACTTCCCTGTTCATCCTCTCCACTCCGTATGCAACTGTAGAAGGATCAATACTCCTGTCAGGCGATGCAAACCAGAAATATATAAGCTTCTTCCTTCAAAGATTGAACAGCCATTGACACCAGAAAACCGCTTTGTTCAGATTGTAGTACTATTTTACCATGTTGAGGAACAAGACCACCGTGACAGAAGACCCAGTCATTAACCTTAAGAACAACAGCATGACGTGCTAACTCGCATGCCAGTGGACCTCCTGGCCTTAGAAGGATTGATCTGGCAATCACACCTTTTTGCTTCTGTCCTAATATTCGGAAAACTTTATCAGAAGAAACATTACGAAATAGTGACGGGAAAAGAATAGTAAGTGAAACAGTGGATTTCAGTACCCTCACTAGATTGCATGGATCCCAATAATTTTGGGGCATTTTCCTCTCTTCCTTCATCCTTTTAGAGACACCAACCCAGCCAACAAAAGCTTCTTCCCAGTCATCTCGGTTGTCATCCAAGTAGTCCAGGAAATCAAGACACTCATCAAATCCTCCAGCATCCCTGAATCGGAATTCCCCTTCCATATTGATAGTCTGGTGATTCCCATTGACATCCAACATCACAGAGAACACCGTCAAGATTACTAACTAGGAAACAATCTACATACACAATTCTCAAAATTACATCAAAATATATTTTTATTGAAGACGAAGTTTTTATGATTAATGCCGTATAATGGATTCTCATCTTTCAAACCAATCGATATGAAAACATTGTATCGGAATGGCTAAACTAATTCTTTTACCATCAAATCAGGGTGGAAATTCAGTGTAATTAAACCATCAAATACATTTATCCAATACCAACAATGAAGATATTCTGATTGCTACACAAACCTGAAAAACTGCTCCGCTTTCAGCTTTTGCCTGTATATCCAAGGATCTCAGCAACGACAAAATCGCTATTTCATCTTCACCTCGATCAAGTATATCTCCAAGCTGAATCAATACCTAAATCAAATAAAGAAAACAAAGTTATCCTCACGTTCTTCAAAAGTTGCTAGCTTTCACAACAGAACGACAAAATATGTGCCTGGTGAAGACAATTGCAAGAACCTTAAGTGTTCCGAACTATATCAATGAAAGGTATACCGTTTCTCCACCAGTCCATACGTCTTCACCATCAGGACTCAACACACCAGCCGTCTCAAGTGCACATCTTGTTTGGCCAAGGTCTCCATGAAGATCCCCAACTGTATATACTCAAGGCCATAAAAGAAAACACTAAAGATAGTGCTGATCACACCAAACATGTTAGCAAGAACCTGTTCATAATATCAGATATCCAATTCCAACATTGGCATGTCTTCAGGCCAATACATACCAAATTACAATGGACAGTCAAAGACTTAATACGTGCTAAATTGCAGCCATTACTAAGAGTTTCGACACAGCGAATGTTAGATCCCACATCGTCCAGGGGAGTGAATCTTTTATGCCTTATATGTATATTCCCATCTCTACCTACCACGAGGCCTTTTGGGAGCTCATTGGCTTCGGATTCTATCGGAACTTCGAAGTTAAGCCAGTTCAAGCGAGAGCATTCTTAGGATGGGTGACCCCTGTGAAGTTCTTGTGTGAGTTCCCAGAAACAAAACCATGAGGGCGTGGTCGGGGCCCAAAGCGGATAATATCATGCTATGGCAGAGTCGAGCCCAAGATGTGGTGAGGGCCCGGGCTGGGATGTGACAATTTTGTATCAGAGCCAATCCCTGGCCAAAAGTGTGTCGACGAGGACGTCGGGCCCTTAAGGGGGGTGGATTGTTAGATCCCACATCGCCCAAGGAAGTGGATCTTCTATGCCTTATATGTATATTCTCATCTCTACCTAGCACGAGACCTTTTGGGAGCTCATTGGCTTCAGATTCCATCGAAACTTCAAAGTTAAGCGAGTTCGGGCGAGAGTATTCCCAGGATGGGTGATCCCCTGGGAAGTTCTCATCTGAGTTTCCAGAAACAAAATCGTGAGAGCGTGATCGGGGGCATGATCGAGGCCCAAAGTGGACAATATTGTGCTATGATGAGCTCATTGGCTTTAGATTCCATCGAAACTTTAAAGTTAAGCGAGTTCGGGCGAGAGTATTCCCAAGATGGGTGATCCCCTGGGAAGTTCTCATCTGAGTTCCCAGAAACAAAATCGTGAGAGCATGATTGGGGGCATGATCGGGGCCCAAAGTGGACAATATTGTGCTATGACGGAGTCGAGCCCGGGATGTGGACATAAAAAAGAAACCCAGAATTCCTTCTCTCTCAGCCAGGTATTTGGGAATATTTTTCTGTGATAGTATTCGAGCTCTCGAAAATATGGATTGTCATTGCTTTGTCATGAATGTTCTTTTCGAAAAAGACTAGAAACAAAAGAAAATGAAACTTGTTTCTTTTGCTCTTTTCTTCACTTAATTTTCTAGACTTAAGTTTCGAAATTGAAAATTTCCAAACAAGATAGAAAATCGTAAGTTGAAAATTTCTCATACAAATTTCTAACAAGCTTTTTAACAATTGATCTTTGAAGGTATATACCAAAGATCAAATAAGTTGATCTTTGAAGGTTGAATTTGAGTAAGTAAACAAATTATTTTCTCTATATTTTAAACAGATAATTAATATCAATTGAGGTTTCAATATCATAAACATCTTGGAAACCAAGTTTTGAGATGTTATATATAGGAGGCTAGTGAATGCAAAGTTGCAAACACTTCATCCTCGTTTTCTCTCACAACTCAAAAAAAAGCGTAAGAGTAAAATGCATACTAAAAAATGTCAAATGTCAGACATCCCCCAAGATATGTGCTATCACTTATACGGTACGGATTGTGCTTTGAACCATGCATCTACTCTGGCCAACTGACCATTTCTATAGATAATTTGAATCACGATGATCTACCCTTACTACTAGTGTGAAACGTCGAGTAGTAGTTATGTGGTTTAGATATCACCAACAATCGAAGCATATTTCATGGGTGGGACTTTATATGTATTAGGATTAAAAGAAGATTGGATTAACTAATAATTTTTTTAATAAGAGGTTTTATGTTTAATTCTTGTCAAAGATGAATTTGAACCACATTGTTACTAACCTATTATGAGGCTTAGTCCACTCACCCATTTTCTTAGTGTAGACAATGTCGTTTATTTTATAAAAAAAATCATTTTTTCTTCTGTTGAGAAATTAGATAGAGTACATAGGATTTAGATTAAAAGAATTTCTATATAAAACGGACGGTGGTGGCAAAAGCTTCATGTGGATCGAAAATAGTTGAGTTAGGTTTGGCCCAGTATTGTGTTCTGGACTTAACCCACAGCAAACTAGCTCACCTCCCTTTTATTTTCCAAAAATAAAATAATCCTATTGGGCTCTAACGGGTGAGATTGCCCAAAGCACTAAACCGAATGGCTGCTTTCAAAATTTCACCCAAGTCATATAAATTTGAGTGGGGGCGCACTATCCACAAGTCATTTTTAACTTCGCGCACACTTCTTTCAATTTCTGACCGTCAGACTAAATGAATTAAAGAAAATTAAATAACATAATTTAATAAGGGATGTGTAGAAGTAAAAATAGGTATGTAGATAGCATCATCCATTTGAGAAAAATAATTGGGTGTTCAGAAATTATTGAATTTTCCAATTTAAAATTGGCCTATACACTTTGAGCTTGGTTTAGAATTGGTCTCTAAATTAAAAACTCGTTAATTAGGGTCCTTGTATTTAACAAAACGTGTTTTATTTAATCCAACACTTGATACGAAATTATGAATGCAAGAGTCACTCAATCACACAAACATTCACATGCCAATAAAATAAGAGCTAGCATATCTAAATCGTCCAAACCAATCACATATTGACATTTCTTAAATGGTTAGTAGTATCTCATCATCATTTTGAATAAATTTGAATGGAGGGACAAACGGTGGGCTCCCAAAGACTGCAGGATCATTCACTTTCGAGATTGAGGATAGACGCTTTGCGTTCTAAATTGTTCTACTTTGAAGAGTTAAAATTACTTAATCCTCATTATTTTTAAAAAAAAAATCACATTAGATTGGATGGAACCTTATGCATTTACCCACTAGCCAATCTTTAAATTAGCCATGCAATAGGAATATTTTCGTAGTGCCATTCTCATGTAATTGAAGAAAATATTAATTGACATATTCGGAATCATGTCAAAGTAAACTAGGACAAGTTTCACACGTGGTGAAACTGTTAATCATATGAGATCGCACGATTAAAACTAAGAAAATCTCGTACTTTTGTGAGAAGTAGTCCACAAATGTTATGTAGTTAGACACCGCACACAAATTTTTACTGTAACCCAATATAGTTTACTTTGTACAAAAATATTTTGGTAATTAACTAGTTTTTTTGTTCCTTAATTATGACTGGTAAACATTTTACTGAAATCATCTTCATTTCCATTCCGATTCCAAGTATATATATATATGCTATCCGAGTAGTACACATGTAAAACCTCCAACACTCCAACAAGAAGATGACAATTGAGTTGATGAAAAAGGTGAAACAGCAATGGAAGCCGGAAAAGAGGGCTTCAAAGAAGGGCTGCCACAATGTCTCGAGTCTCTGCAGATCAGGAAAAGGCTAACGAGATATATGCACGTGACGATATTATAAGACTTTAAGCCCTCCCCTGCCTCTCGGCCTACAGCATAACACGGACCAATATATGTCCAGTCACACTCACTCAATTCACGTACGTAACGCATGCATATGCAGAGTCTAGGGTTTCAGAAATTGTTGTCAGGGCCAGTCCCGACATCGATCCAGCTCTATACATAAAGCTGTATTGGATATATTGTGAAGAACCCTAATCGAATCTAGTGGGTTTTTACTAGCATTTATGTATCTCTTTTTTCTTGATTGGATTAGGTTATTATCGTTCCTTAATGCAGCTGAACCGTTGGTTTAATAAACCTAATTAGCAAATATACAAGGTCTATTATAGAGGTACGCACGGTTAGAATAGTGAACCTAGATAAGGTGTGTAAACATGTGTGGTTTATCATGTTTTTTAATTTGAACAAACGATAATATCTACATTAGGGGATGAGAGAGTAGACTAAATCTTACAAGGGGCTTGCCATTGTATAAATCTGGTGTGTGGTTTATAATGTTAATAAACTTGTCATGAAGGGTAGTAAACTTATGGGTAATGTAGCTAATGTTAGGTAGATTAAATTTGCAAACTAATTGATGCGTTACCGATAAGAAACACTTAAGTAATAATTCAATTATCAACTTTTGTGTCAGTTAGTTACAAAATTTAATCTCCCTAGCATCTTTGTAATGTGATAAACGTATCCATATAGTTTCTAACTGTGATAAAGGGTAGTAATCCATTAATTAGGTTCCAAATTTGATAAACCTATCCATGCTAGACATAACCATGCGAAGATGGCTATTCGAATTAGCGCTATCCCATGTTATCATCCTACTTGGTGTAGTATGGTTTAAACTTTTCCTTATTAATTACATGCTACAAAATGTTCAAAAGCACCATAACATCAAGAGTGCACATCAAATAACGGTGCAAGATGTACTAAAAAGGGAGCAAATTAATTGTACTTGAAAAAGTTGTAAACATACACCCTAAAAAATAGGCCGAGTCATCGTTATAAAATAGAACAATTGCTTCGTTAGATCATAAATTAATAAACCTAAAATGATAAGCGAAATCTCCAACACTAATAATTGACTACATAGTTGGTCTTATATCTAATTATCTCACTGTATATTGTTACGGGAAGCTAGCTTTTGCTTGTCGGCTACTAAACATTGTTTATTTTAAATCTTGCTATATTATAAAAGATTAGTCTCTTATTTGTAACAAGGTTTATTGTTAAAGTTTATTGAAATTCTAAATCTATTTTTGAAAATGTGGTCCAAAGATCTTAGTGACAATCCATTTCAAGAAAGACGGCTCTCTAATCATGGGAAAAGTAGTCAAATAATGCCATCAAAAGATATCTTACATATTTCTATTATACTTTGGAATATTGTACAATGATAGGATTATTAAAAAGTTTAATTATTATTATGTGGTACGATTGAGAAAACCAAAAAATAAGGGTATATAGTATATGAATGGGAGTTTGACTATGAGCGTCTTGACTCTTGATATGCATGGGGCACTGCATTAGTCCAGCAAGGCCACAGCCATGAATTTGAGGGCAGAAAAGGGGGGACCCGGTGCCTGATCCAGAGCAGTCGAGTGGGAGAGCAACAAATGTAAAGAGATTGTTGGGGCGGAGTCGAGAGATTTTTTATTGTGATGGGAACACGGATAGTATATTACATATTTTTATGTAAGTGGTGAGAAATTTTATTTTTGAGTTATTAATTTTTTAACATACATATCCCACTATTTATATAATAACACGTAATATACCACATTGTGTAATGATCACACTGAAAAGTTTCTAGACGAAGCCCTCTGCTTGACCTAGTTTATCAAAAGAAGATTTATAAATTTATTTTTAATACATTGTCACTGAAATTGCTTAGCAGTTGAACTTTGTTATATAGAAGCTAGGATAAATTGTTGACAGGATATCATGATGTTTATGTCAAAAATTACACCGTTTTGGTGATTAGGGATAACCATTCTGGACTTAAGCTGTAGGCTTATATTCGCCAAATTCTCCACATGTAAGTTGGATCATACTTATTTAACCATTAAGTTCTTTGACTAAAAAAAAGAATTATTGAGTTGAAACACTCATGCACCTATATAATTTTCTCCAACTTAACGACCTATATATAGATGAGATTTAGGCATGATGGATCTCAAGTATAAGTTAATCTTAAAACTCTTCGCAATTAGTAGTGGACTACCTATAAATTGTAGATAATTGTCGTACTCTACTCTTCATATTTTCCTTAACTTGTATGGAGTAATTGTTCTACTCTAATCTTGTCATTTTTTTTTAGCTTTGTATGGAGTAATTGTTGTACTCTAATCTTGACATTTTTCCTAGCTTGTATCTAGGGGTGGTTTCAATTTCATTCGGTTCATTATTTTGCCAAAACCAAAATTACTTTCAATTCAATTTTCTTCTGTTTTTGTTCAGTTTGGTTTGGCTTTGATTTTTTTTTTTTTACGGTTCGGTTTCATCTAGTTTTTCTAATAAAACCTAAAAATTGGTTTAAAAAAATAAAACACAATAATCTGAAAAATCATAGCAAGGAGGAGCTTAGTGTTGGCATTTAGCTCTCGATTTATTCGAAACCATGTGTACATAATATTATAAAAAAAAATTATTTGAACTCATATAACATCTCTTTACACTTAATTTAAACTTTAAATATGAATTATGTTTTTCACCTTATTGCAAAATCACCATTAAACACACGATGAAATTAACAACAAAACTAAAATTTATCATAAACTCACAATCAATAATCAGACCCTACCATTATGCCATTTTTATCCTACGTCCTATTCAAAATTGATTATCTTGATGTGCTTCATGCCACTGTGACATGTTTCCTATGGCCTTTTTGGGGAGAGGTCAATCGTGTATCTGTCAGTGCTAGTCTATAGAACAATGGTTGTGGGGTTTTGTCTGTCACATCTTGTATTCCGCTATTTCATCATGTATTGTTCTTGTGTCCATTTAGCATTTTATATGCAGTTTCATGGTTCTTCATTCTTGTAGAAGGGATTTCATTGTGTCCTAGGATTTTCTTTTCATTCCTTGATTATTGTTTAATTTGTTTTTGTTTTTTAGAGCTTTCGAAACTGTTCACTTTTAGAGAGAGGCTACAATATGTGAGTGATGAATTAGCCAATTAAGCCATCGAGCCAATTACCTCTTTGAATGATCGTTCACATATTGTTCTCTTCATACCTTGAATGATTTGGAGAACATTGATTTTGGTTGTTTTTTTTCTTTTTAAATGAGTGTAAAGATAAATTTATTTATTAAATTAGGTTTGTATGAGTAGCTTAGGTTATATGGGTTCAAATAATTTTTTTTTAATATTATACAAACCAATAAATACACATGGTTGTATCATACTTCACTAATCTCGAAATTACCAAGTATCGGTTAACTTTATACCTTCAAGGCACATTGAAAGATTCGT